ATGAGATTCAAGTTGAGGTACCATGGAAGCCCCAAAGGTGTGATGGTTGTAAGACTTTTGGCCATACCACTAATTTGTGCCCTCAAAAGCCAAAGTCTTTGAACCCTTCCTCCTTCAAACATGAGTGGAGAGTCAAGGACACTAAAACACAAATTCCGACTAAATGGGAAGTGGTGAAGAAAAATGGGAGAGATGGTGGGCAAGGTTCAACGCCATTGATCAACAAAGAGAGAGAGACGTAGTCTTCTATCCCCTCAACATCTAATGCCTTTGATGCCCTTGAATCGTGTGATATGGACGAGTTAGGAAATGGAGATTCAAGTCAAGAGTTGAGAAATAGAGGGAGTCCATCTCCAAGTGATCCTAGTTATGGGGAGACTTCAAAAGAGGATAACAGAAGAAAACTTAAAGCGAAACTTCATGACTTGAAGAATGCTAGAAGGAAATTCTGAATCCTTGTTTTGTTGGGAATGTTGTGCTTGTTTTCTACAAGCTCAGTTTGTTTTTTGATGGAGTAGTTTATTTTGTTTATTTTTGTGCTCCCATCAAAAGCTGTGTGTTGAACTTTATTGTATATTTTTCTTTTTTGGTTATAATATGACTTACTTATCCAAAAAAGAATCCATAATAAATTTTACACAAGCCCAAACAATAGCCTCCAGTCCATTCAGAGGTGGAACCAAGATTTTCAATCCAAGAAGGCCAAAACTCTTTCAAATTTTTTTGATATATATCTTTTTATAACGATAGAATTTTAAAAACCTAATTGATGCATAAATTTTATCACGTTACTTATTATTATTTAATATTTAATATTTTGATTCTGTTTTCTTTGATTTAAAACTAATCATATAATACTGTTAAACTATGATATTCTTTTTAAGAAATATCATAATTTTATTGATTTTTGTAAAAAATGTAAAATATAATTGATATTAGCAAAATACATGATTACAATAATATAAAATGAATGTTTCTTATGAAGTCTTTATCATCACATATATAGAAAAGTACCAAGAAAAATCTGTATCACATTATTTTTTCTTAAAGTTTTTTTTATGTAATTCTTGATTTCTATCATTATTCTTTGATTATATTCAATTATAAAGCGCAGTTATAAAATATTCAGATAAGTTGCAAGGGAAAACCAAAAAAAAAAAAGAAGGGTTTTTGAGGGAATTTAATGAAATTTACATAGAATTTAAGAATAATATACTAATTAAATTATAGATATTCAAAATTATATAAGGATATCAATAGAATTTTTTATATTTTCAAGAAGGGCCGGGCCACCCGATTCCCTCAACAGTTCCTCCCCTGGCCTGAATCCATCTGAACTGGTGGGAAGCCTAGTGCTATTCTAAAATTATTAAGGGGTATTTTAAAAAAATAATTAAAAATTAACTTTTTAATTTTTTTAACTTTTTGATTTCTTTTGGTGAAAGAAAAAATGGGTTAAAAATTATTTTTCAAAATAGGTCCAACTAACATTTCCAGAAGAATGTGCATTGGGAGGGGCATTCGTTGCCCATCTAGAGAGAGATCACACCAAATTCTTTCAATTTTGTTTGGTCAATAATAATATTTCTTATCGTCAATCCTCATTTTCATTACCTCTGCCCTCTCGTACACGGTTCTTAAAAAGTCAATTTTTGCACCTTCATTTATGCCGCGTATAGTAAAATAGATTTGGAAAATACAATGCAATATGAATTTGTGTGTTGAATTTTATCTTGAAAATAAAATAGGTGATATAGATTTAAAGTAAATGAGATGTGTGTTACATTTAAAATAGTTGTGGTCTATAAATATAATTTTGTGAGTATGTAATATTGTTGAATAAATTTTGAATATTGATCACTAGAAAATTTATTGATAAATTTAAAATAATTGTATATTTTACATAACATGGGTGTTGTAAAAATAATATACTATACTGTTTTTAATTTTCTTAATCAATACCTAATAATACTCGTTAACAAGACCCAATCAACATACAGTCATATGATTATATATAAAAGTTATGTATAATTCTTATATTTGTATACCATTATTCTGAAAGAAATTTTTTCCTCCTTTACAACAGAGAAGGTCCTTAATTTTTCTTTCTATTGTTGTTTTTTTTTTTAATAGCTAAAAATAATTAAACTTATTTTTTATTTACTTAAACAGCTGAAAAATAGCTCTCCTAGTCGAACCTAGTTGGCTTGTTTTTCTATAAAAAAAGAACAATATAAAAATTTGAATTGATCAGATTAAGGCCTGGTTTGACATGTCTTAAATAAGATAAAAAGTTAAAAAATTACTAAAAAAGTCAAAAGTTATCATTATTCACAAAAAATATATATATAAAAAATCATGACAGTACTGTTACACAGGACAGTGTGCAGTGATGGTACACTGTCAACTGATGCTACAAATTTTACTCGGTGGTGCATAAAAAAGTTACACAGGACAGTGCTGTTTAGCTCGTGGGGTCTCATTATAAGTCTTGTTTTGATAATCTGAATCATTCAATATGTAGAATTCATTGGATACTATATGCCTGTAAAAATCATGCTGATCGAATATTGATAGGTATATGATCAAATTAATTTTGTATAACAAAATGGACGGTGAAGAAATGGTTGACAAAAAAACTAATCTGATCAGATAGCTATCGATATTCAATCAATGTGATTTTTTACAAATATATAGTACTCGACGAGTTCTACACATTCAACGGTTCCGATTATCAAAACGAGACCCATGGTGGGCCCCCACGGGCCGAACAGCACCGTGTAGTCCGATCTTGGACTGTAGGCAATCTGCTCCTATAATGTTTGCTGCCAACCGACTGGCTTCCAGTACAATCCAAGTCAGTAGGTATTACATATCGTAGGGGTAAAATGGTAATTTTGTTATTTTATATAATATTTCAATACATATTTTTTCGTAAAAAGTAAAAAGTTATCCCAAACAACCATGTTATTTGTCTCTACTTTTTAGTCTAAAAAAATCAAAAAGTATACTTATGTAGGACATCCCAAACAACTCCTAATTTTTTTTTGCTCAAAATTAAACCAAATAGAGATAAATATGTTACAACTTTAAAGTATAAAATGGAAATCCATAAAACAGAGGGAATTTGAATTTCAATTTTTTAACCAAAACTGAAAACACAAATGGCTAATTTAGTTTAGGCCTGGTTTGGCATAACCTATATAATCTATCTTTTTATCTTTTTATCTCTTTTCCATCACACTATCTCTCTACTTTTTTGCATATTTTTTCGTAAAAAGACAAAAAGTGCACTTTTTTAGGACACCCAAACCAACCCTTAGTAGCGTGGAGATAGCATGAAAAACAAACAATTTCTAGTAATAAACACTTTTCCTTAGATAATCTGATGTAAAACAAGTGACGGATGAATTATTGGAACAAGGAGACCGGCAAAAGGTAAGACCATCTCCAATGGTGAACCAAACCCAGCATTAAATTCAAATTTTGATGAAAAACCTACTTTTTCAAGTTCCAACCGATTACTTGTGAATTTTTTTTAAATTTTTTTTACTAAATACAAAATTTTAATACATTTTTATTTTTTTCTTGAATTTATTGAATATTTTTTTCAAAAAAAAGTTCTACAAATAACTTACTTTTTAGATATTTTTTAGCTTCATCAAAAATATGTATAAAAAAACTAAAATATAAAAAAAAATGACTAAAAATAATAAAACTGAAAAAATTTAAAAATCAGAAATTATATTCTCTTTGGGCCATTCTGTTAGTCCTTTTTCCCATTTTAGATTCTAAAATGTTAGTTCCATTTGAAAAGCCAAAGTCAAAGGTATTTGGTTTTTTAAAAGGCGGTGACTTTGTTCAGTTCAAGATCAGATTAGATCGTACTGTTAGGTTTGTGAGGCCTATCACGGGTCTCATTTTGATAATTTGAACCGTTCAATGTGTAGAACTCGTTGAGTACTATATGCCTGTAAAAAATCACGTTAATTTGATATCGATGGCTATGTGAATAAAAAAGTTTTTTATCAACTGTTAATTGTTTCACCGTCTATTTTTTTTTATACAAAACTAATTTGATCACGTAGTTATTGATATCCGATCAACGTGATTTTTAACAAACATATAGTACTCGACAATTTCTACACATTGAACGATTTGGATTATCAAAACGGGCCCAAAAAATAGATCCCATGGGCCGAACTGGACGGATCCAGTCTTAATCTCAACTTGAGACAAACTGGACTTTTTTTAAAATTACCCTTTTTAAATAGTTAGAAATATATTAAAACTTAAAAAAGAGAAGGGCATTATTGGAATAAGTGTTCTAAAATTTAAATTTAAATGCAATGATTATATATTTACTAAAAAAGCTATAATTTCTAACGTTGTGTTTAGTTAGAGGATTTGAAAAAATTTTAAAAAGAAAAAAAGAAAAGGTAGGTGAAATAGTTTTGCACACATTTTCCTTTTTCATTTCTAAATTTCTCTCCAAATCTCCTAACCATACACAACTAAGAGAAACTATCAAAATGGAATGGGAGAAAACTCAAAACCTAATCTAATGAATTTCAACTCTAAATTGTACGACTGATGAACATTCCCAATCCAATGTCAACTAGAGAATTAGTTATACATGTCCAATTAGGCTCACAATCAGATTACATTGTTTTTTTTTTTTTTTGTCAACAAAATAAAAAGAATTTTATTGATAAAACAGAAGACTATTACATTAATAAAAGAAAAAGAAGATGAGTACAAAAAGTATCATGATGAACCAAATCAATCTCAATTAACTTGGGACCGATAAAACTGCCAATCTGATCACGTTGTGTACGCATGCGTATGAACATCGCCACCATAAACAGCTTCTCCAAATATCAATTCTTACGTCACAGCATACATGGGCTATATTAGATTGTTTTGGATATAATTTGTAAGTTAATTTTTTTATTTATTACAAAAAAAAACATACAAAAAGATAATAAGATAGTATGATGTAAATAAGTCAATAGATTACTTTTTCATGTATTACCAAAAGAGACCATACAACAAAAACAATTCAATCCAAACAAACATAACTAACCCAAAAACATATTATTTTTTTAATACGATACTTATAATTATGCGATTATTTCATGTGGCGTTGTGAAACTTTTTAGTCAGACCAAGTAACGTCGACCACACCTATGGCCTTATCCAGCCCCAAAGCACTCCACACCGCGTCGGACCCATCAACTACGTTATTTTTGCACGGCGGTTGTCCGGCATGCTCCGCATCACAACCATGCATCGAGTCGCACTCGTCCACCACCTTCGCCTCCACGGTCTGCCCATTACTCGCCGTGATTTTTATCATCTTCCCACACCTCGAGCCACTACTGTACCACCCAGTCGACAATGCAACGATTGGGTCGCTATTTGAATGGTACATGCCGTCACATTCAGAGGGTCCTCCACCATCTCCTCCGGCACTAAAATCGTTGTTTGTGAGCTTGGCGGGTGTGGAGGAGGAGACGGGAGGAGAACACGTGTAGGTAGGGTAGGATTGGCTACCGCACGTGAGAGTGCCAGATGGATCGCAATTGCCGGTCGAAGGGGATGGAGTGTTTCCGCCACATATGTTGGTTCCGACATTGGGGTCGTCGGTGCATTGTCCATTGATGCAGATGAGCTGACCTTCACAGTCGTTTAAGGTTTGACATGGACCGTTGCAGGAGGACTGAGCATTCCCATGAGATGGAAGGAGGGAGATGAGGTTGAACAATAGGAAAACAAGAAACAATGCGGATTTCATCATCATGGTATTGGTATGTAGTACTAGTACTACGTTAATTTGAAGGTGTTGTTGGAAGATGGAGTTTGCAGGTGATTTATATAGTGGGCTAGCGAGAAAAGTGGGTTGGATTATAATAATAGAAAAATGTTTGGTGGCCACAATATTCGCGATTCAAATGGCTCGAATTAATCAAAATGATGTCGTTTTGTGTCCAAAACGACGTCGTTTTGGTCAATTCGAGCCATTTGAGCCTGGAAAATTCGGATCCTCTATCATTACTGATAATAATATACCCTCAGAATTTGGAGATGAGGTTGAACAATAGGAAAACAAGAAACAATGCGGATTTCATCATCATGGTATTGGTATGTAGTACTAGTACTACGTTAATTTGAAGGTGTTGTTGGAAGATGGAGTTTGCAGGTGATTTATATAGTGGGCTAGCGAGAAAAGTGGGTTGGACTATAATAATATACCCTCAGAATTTTTATTTTAAAATATCAATATCTAATTCAAATTTATTTTATACATAGATTTACACTACACCAACTTAATTTTCATCAAAAAACACATTTTAAACAATAAGTTGGGACACTTTTCTTGACTAATATAATATTCACACTTGTGTGATGAGACCTACAATTTGAACAAATATATAAAAATTTTGATTTTTTTTCCTTGAATTCTTCTTAGTCCATTCCATTAGTCTAGGTCAAGTCGATTTATTGACTCAATCCACAAAATTACAAATATCATATACTAATAATAAGAGATTGGTCAACCTGTTTAAGGGCGCTCTCTCACCGTGTCCACACCATAAAAACAGGTTTGGTAGGATGGAATGAAATGAAATGAGAATAGAATAAGAGTAAGAAAAGAATACAAGGTTAAATGAAATAGAATATTCATTTCCATTCTATTGTTTGATTGCCAATATGAAATGAGAGAGGAATATGATGATAATTTTCATTCTACTGTTTGGTTATACTTATTAAACTCATGAAATGAAATAAATTTTTATTATTATTTTTTTTAACAAGCTAGTAACAAACAAATTAAAATTTTATATAAATCATAATAATGTTAATAATTGTGAAAGTGATGGTATGAGCGGGTTGTTTTGGGGAGTTGGTAAAAAGCTGACTTTTGACTTTTTACCAAATTTTTAAACTTTTTTGAAAGTGATTTGGGAAGTTGGTAAAAAGCTGGCTTTTTGCTTTTTAGTTTAATATTTATTTATGGTGTCAAATCAAATTAAAATGACCAAAACACCCTTACCCAACATAAGAGATTTATTTTTTTATTTTTTTTTCATAGGCCCTAATTTTTAATTTTACGGATGTGTTTTTGGCACTTGCCAAATGGCTTTTCTGGCTTTTTTGGCAGTCATGTTTTTGGATATTTTGTCCAAAAACGTGACTTTTTACCATGTTCCCAAAATGGCACATAGTAGTAGTGATAGTGGTGGTGGCGACGACGATGGCAGTGGCGGTGGCGACAACATCGGTGGTGGTAATAGCAATGACAGTAGGATGATAGTGTTAAATTGTTGTAGCCTTAGTGGTGATAGTAAGGTGTTATGATTGTGATGGTGGTGGTGGTGGCGATTGCGGAGGCCAACATTAGTTGTGGTTGTAGCAGTGGCATCGGTAGTACAATGGTAGTAGTATGGTAGTGTGGTGGTTATGGCGACGACCGTGGTGGTGGTGGTAGTAGTGATTGTGGTGGCAATAGGGTGGTGGTGAGGGTGACGGTGGTGGGGCGATAGTGTGGTAGGAGAACAGAATGGTGGTAGTAATTAAATAATAATATTTTTTTAAAATGTCAACAAAAAAAAAATAAATGAAATTTTATGATAATTCTATAATAGAATGAAATGACTATTCTTTAAGTTGGAGAAAGGAATATGTATTCCCGTATTTTGTTAGAATAATTATTTCAATAGAATAATAATTCTCACTTAAATAAGGTATACTAAATAAAAGAAAAAAAATATAAAATTATAATGGACATTCCATTTCAGCCATTGTATTGTACCAAACGTGCTTCAGTGTCTTTCTTTTCTTTGAATAATGGAGAGCTGGAAGTTTGACTGCAAAGTCTCACCAATGAAAAATGAATAAGTACATGATCCAGATCTAGGGTCATTTAATAATTCAGAGTGGGAAGTTTGACTGCAAAGTCTTACGGTGAAAAATGAGTAAGTCTATGACCCAGATTTATGACATTTTGAATTGGGTAATACTATATATCATGAAATAAATATCATGAAAAACTTCATGAAACTAATCCAATGGTGAATGCATAACATACAATAAAACACTACAAACACTATAATCTAATCCAATGGTGGAAAATCTTCATAAAAACTTTTCATGACATTGTTTTCATGATACCTAGCATTATTGTTTTGAATTGTATTTTGTTAGAATAATTATTTCAATAGAATAATAATTCTCACTTAAATAAGGTATACTAAATAAAAGAAAAAATATATAAAATTATAATGGACATTCCATTTCAGCCATTGTATTGTACCAAACGTGCTTCAGTGTCTTTCTTTTCTTTGAATAATGGAGAGCTGGAAGTTTGACTGCAAAGTCTCATCAATGAAAAATGAATAAGTACATGATCCAGATCTAGGGTCATTTAATAATTCAGAGCGGGAAGTTTGACTGGAAAGTCTCACGGTGAAAAATGAGTAAGTCTATGACCCAGATTTATGACATTTTGAATTAGAATGGGTTGTATGTTAGATTTTAAAATTATATATTGTAGAATTCTTAAATCACATGTTAATGTTTATTATTGATCAAAAATTTCATCTGCAATATTTCTCGTCATTAATGCTTTTTCTCATCAGCAAAAAAATTTCTGATAGAGTTGAAGTAGCACTATTGTTTAATTATTTTAAATAATATTAAAAATTTTAAATAAATTACTAAATATTTTATTAAATACTCATATTAATATAAGCTTTATGACGGTATCATGTGTAGTGGGTCTCATAGCTGATTACGTACTTTTATAAAAATTTACACAAATTTACATGTCCCATTCATGTTTGTGCAACCTTTAAAGTGTTACACATCCAAACACTTCCCATTATAGTATCATGTGATATTTTCATTATGATAAGTGCTTGTCACCTGTCATTGAATTGGATCACGCTGTCCAAACTCCTATGCTTCTGTTTTAATCATTTAAGTAGGGGTAAAATGGGGGAGGTTCAGCCCATTTTTTCGTAATTTTTAAACTGAATTGAAATATTTAATTTTATTTTTTTGAAACCAAACAGACTGAAAGACAATTACAAACTGAACCAAATTGTTATATGTGGTTTTAGTTTGATTCGATTCGATTCGGTTCGGTTCGATGTGGTGCGGTACTACAATTTTCCTTAAGAAGTATAATAGCTTTTTCAATTGTACCAATTAGCATTGTGGCAGTTTTATATGCACTACAAGAATTTATGTATTTGGCGACCAAAATTGGCTACTAAAACAATTTTAGTCGCCAAAAATAGTCTTTTTGGCGACTAATTTTTTTTTAGTCGCCAAAGGTTCAAATTTTGGGTACCATTTTAATTTAGTATACATACATTGTTTTTTGGCGACTAAAAAAAAATTTAGTCGCAAAACATATAGTTATGGGCGGTTAAAAAACAATTAGTCGCCAAAAGTTAATATTTTATGCTACTAATTCTAAATTTAGTCACTAAACAAGCTGATTTGGCGACTAAAATGTGAAATAGTCGCTAAAAGTTGAAATTTTTTTTAGAGGGAAACCAGTATAATTTGGCTCTCGATATGTCTATCTCTCTCACACACACGATATACACAGTCTCAGTCTCAAACAAATTTCGCTCTTTTTCGACACTACCAAGCCTCACCCCGCTCACTACCGTCGTTGGCCACCACTGAGAGAGACCGTTGCCCACCGCCACCACCACCGCCACTTAATCACATGCATTATGGAGGTAAATCTGATTCTCTTGAAGTGCTTCGCAGTAGCATAGCTGGTTACTGTGGCAAGTTTCTTTTGTGTTCTTCATTTTACTTTGTTTGTTGTGATTATTGTTAATCAAAAACTTTTTACATTGTGTTTTGAATCATTGAGAAAAGGTAAAATGGGTTCTAATTTGACAATTTGATTGTTTGTGTTCCCATATTTCTTGTCCTTTACTTCGTTTTTGAACCAAAGCTTAGGAAGAGCAAATGAATACGATGGAAAGTAGGTAACCTACACAACACGTGTGATGACTCTCTCTTTTCTCATATAAGCCTTTAATCAGCTAGTGATTGTTTTTTTAATTTTATTTTATATAGTTTTAAAATTTCTTCAAAAACTATCTGGTGCTTTTTTTCCTCTTTCTATTATAGGGTTTCTATTCCTTTGATTTTATCTCTTCCAGCTACGGTGCTTTCACTGACTAGAAAAGACCAGCTCAAGGTGTTTCATCTCTATTCATTTGTTTTTTTTTGTATTTTAAGAATGTGCTTTTATTACTTCGATTACTTGTTTACTTTTATTTCCCTCCTTACGCCATTTGTTTTGGATATCTTTTATGGTGAGTTCTTTGTCAACATGAACACACACTCTTTTTTGGGTAGGTGAAGAATTGAGATATATGAATCCAGTTAGGACAAATTTTTTTTTTATTTTTTTTTATTTTTTTTTGCGCGTTCATTATGATAGGTCAGATTAACTAAACCTCTTGGAAAGAATACAAACACATTTACAAGGATACCGTATCGTGAAAGTATAAATGTCAAATCCAATTATATGACTACCAATAGTAGAGATTGAGGAACAAAATTACTTGTTTTGAATGATTTTTGCACTTTTAGCAATAGAAGTCCATACATTAGTGTGCTAGATCCTAAAAAAAAAAGGTTAGTCATGTCCAGGCTTCTTGATATCTAGATGTCTTTAATCTGGTAATGTGCATAGGCAGCCCCCCCATAGGTAACCCTCTTCTTCCGAGGTAGTTGAGTTCCATTAAGTGGCTTTTAACTCTTAGCTCTCAAGTTTTGATCTACCACTCCCAAGATCTAGTTTAAAGTTTAGCTTATATGGCTAAATACTGATCAATATAATATTGTGCTGCTTATCAAGTTAGGGTGAATACTGTACTGGGATCTGCAGCGCCGTCTCTATTAGTAAAACTCAAGCAAGCTTTCAATTCTGGTTCAAAGGATGCTTCTATAATTGAGAGCCAGGTGCTGCGTGTGACTCTTTTGTTTTTTTATCAGATGCTCATGACCATAATTTGCCTAACTTGTATTCTAATGATCTTGTCATTTGCCTTGATGCAAGAACTCAAGTTTGATCTAGAAAATGATGTCCATTTCTTGGATGCATGGCCAAAGCGTGTTGACGTAGGCAATTTTGTTTTTGTATTTGAGGTAATTGTATTTATTATTGTCATTTCCTACTAATCTAAAGATCCCCATGTTTTTCCTCTCCTACTCGCTATCTCTTGTGTCCAAGAAGCTGATCTTCATCTATTTTCTATGTGCATCCTCTTTTCCTTTTTCATCCTTTTTTTGGTAGATTGTGCTACAAGATTCGGAGCATAAGAAAATTTATGCCACTGGAGGCCAAACAAAAGTACCAATATATGTCACTGGAGTTATCAAAGTTGACAATGCAGAAATTGTAGTACTGGATAGTGATATTGGGAGCATAGAATCTCAGAAGAAGTATGCCACTTACTTTTTCCTTTAACCTAGATTTGGTTATATTTTCCTCCATTTTTAGCGTAGTTCTTTGAAATTTTCCACTGACATGCTTGAACCAATTCTCTTAAATGTTGTTGTTGCTCAATTACACCTTCCATAGAACACTGATATCTCTCCCTGTTGATTTTTTTTGAGGTTTGTGATTAAGACTTTTCAAACTTCAAATGTGATATTTGGTGTGAGAAAAATGCTTCTATTACAATCAAAAGAAACATGACTTATTGATCTTTATGTGTTATTTTTCCGTATTAATGTTGTTATTCATTATATTTTTTACTTCAGCAGATTAAAATTTGCATCATGCTGTGCTTTTTCTTCAAGCTAGATTTAGCTGGAGAGACTTCTCTTTCGTTGTCAGCAAACCATCTACAAAAGCTGCGTTTATCATTTCAATTGACCATTCCACTTGGGCATCCATTCAAACCACTTCAGGTTTGTATTTTGACTTTGGTTTGTCTCTTTAATAATGTTCCTTCTTATATCGAGGTTGTTGAGAACTTTGTTTGCCTGCAGGATTTTCTCAAGTTGAAACATGAGACCAAAGTTGAGCACATCTTTGTCTTGGGGAACTGTTACGACCCAAACCCGCCCCTATGGGTTTAGCATCGTAATCGGCCAGTAATCCTAGGATTACCGAAGGCCTTTGAGACAGATTAACATAATATTAGGGGCTAGCGAAAGCAAATAAGAATATACAATGTCCATTGAGCTGTGCAGACTTATATGAGACAGAAAAATTTTAAACTTTTTATGTACACATATACACATTAACTTTAAGTCGTCATATAAACACAGATTAGACAAAAAGGAACTTAACCCTATTTACAAAATACACAAGACTTGTTCAACTAAACACAAAAATAAAACTTAAACTTTAGATCATATAGCAATAATCACTTGACATATCCGAAACCTCCATGGGAGGCATATAGGTTGGCTGACAAAACTAGTTCTAGGCAGAAACTTCTAAGCCTGGTCACGCGCCTGATCACCTACATACATAAATAATACAGTGAGCTAAAGCTCAGTGAATAATAACAAAGTAAAGGGTTTTTATGAATGATGTCCAACACAAGTTAGGATACAGTATTTAAATCAGAACATATTCAGACTTCAAAACAGACATAGATTTAGATACATACTCATGTTCATATTCAAATTTTGCATAAGATCATACGTGGTACACACATTAGCTATCAAATCAGATTGGTCCAGAGACCCACATACATAGTTGGTACCAACGACCATAAAGGTCCATATCTTGCGCGCAAGTAGCCATCGTATTGTTACCCCCAAGCAAGGGCCACGTACAGATTGGCCACGGTATTGTTACCCCCGGACGAGGGCCACATGCAGATTGGCCACGGTATTGTTACCCCCGGGCGAGGGCCACGTGAACTAAGGGTGCCACAAATACATTTCAGAAAATTGGACATTCATTTATAATTCGTAAGATAGCATTTCAGAAAAACAGATCATATCATATCAGTCAGAAAATACTTAAGTTAAAACATAACTTTACAGAGTTATTGCTCACAGATGGCTGCATAAGCAAATCAGACAGACTGGACATATCAGATAAATCAGGCAGACAATGGCGCGTGACCTACACAAGCACATAACATATACACATTGAGATACAATATTACTCCATTGATCAAACTTGACTTTCCTAGTCTTTTTCTGTTTAAATAGTCCGAAGTTCTACTACGCTTAATCTTTCTCATTCAAATAAACCGGATTCTTATTTCACGTATTCTTTTATTACTAAACCTTTCTTTTCCCAATAGACTAATCTTTTACTTGGCTTCTTAAACAACTACCACTAGATCAATGATTCATCCTCCAACTAACTAATCTATGTTGATTGGTAGTTTATTAATCTATATTGAGTCATAAATCATGTCTAGAATGCCTTGGAAAAAGATGGGAATAAAAATGTGAACTAAATGCAATTTTTCAAAATATGCTGAAAACAGGCCTTCGCTCGAGCGCCACTTTGGTCGCTCGAGCGGACTGTAAAATTTGAAAAACTACTGAGAGCTCGATTTTCACGCTCTAGCGAGACTTTCCTCGCTCGAGCGGACAACACAAATTCTGAAATTTCCAAAATTGTAATCGAAGTTCATATTTGATATTCAAAACCTCAAAACGTGTATTTTTAGTACACAAAAATGGAAGACCATTGTATGATTTAGCAAACACTTCCAATTAGAAAACATTCAACCAAAATCATGTTCCAATTGCTCAAATTTAATTTTAATTCATCTTATTAATATCAACCCACAATTCTAAGATACAAATTAGGCTTTCCAATTCTTAAAATTGCATGATGCATGTGTGATTGAACTCAATTTCATACAAGACAGATAAATTCAAACCCAAAAGGATTATTTTCAAATTAACTTCTAAAATTTTGAATCTACTTCAATTTCTACACCATTTTACTAATTCCTTTTAATGTACATGAAATTGAAGTTATATGACCCTTAGGAAAATATTTGCGTGTATGACATTAAGATTAAAACTAATTAATTTTTTCTACATTCAAAATTAACTCAATGTTTAATTTTCCATAAACTTGATTTTTCTTATAAAATTTCTTCCTTCTTCTCTTCAAAACATGAAATTGTTTACCTTAAGTTCCTCAAAATCCAAAATGCATGTATAAAACACTTACCAAATCCAACCCATTTTACATCATCAATCTCAATTTATAGTTTGACTTCTTAATTTATATCATAATTTAATCTCAAACTCATAAACTATAAAATATGAATTAAATTCTAAAATCTTGAAAACTTACCATGCATGTAATGGAAAACTTCAAATATGTGAAGGATGAAGAAAATCAAACTCAAATATTTAATCTCAACATCAATTTCTTAATAATTACCTTCTAATTTATTTTCCATAAACTTGATTTTTACATGCAAACCCAAATCTTTACAATTCATAATATCTACAAAGCTTTATTTTTAATTCCTTCAAAATTCATGATGTATGAATCAATCTAGTCTAAATTCCTTTCCATAGCTTTCAAATTATAAGATTGAACTTCAACATAACTCAATCCTAGAATGCATGTAACATATAATTTCAAAATCCAACATATTCTTGTATGTATGTAAGGAATCACCTTCTTCTTAACATGCTCAAGAAAATACATGTAATGGCCCATAAATCCAACTCTATACCATAGGATCTTCAAGTTTTAAGAGACAAATCCTTACCTAGAGTCTTCATAGACATTTAATCTTGCATAATTTTGACAAATCCAAGCCAAACTTGAGTTTCTCCTTCCTTTTCTTCACTTTTCCCTTGGTTTTCCTTCAAATTTCCAGCAAAGATTTAAGGAGTTGAACTCTCCCTTATTCACGGTTCTCTCTTTCTCACCCACGGTTGTCTCTCTCTTTCTCACGGTTTTGCACCAGCAGATTAATTACATTGCATGCAAAAACAATGAAGCTCTCTCTCTCTCTTTGGTTCTCTCTTTCTCTTTTCTATATGTTTGAGTCTAACTTCCCAGCACATGTATTACACACACACAACTTCTTTTGAGGCACCACACTACACACGTGCACAGATCCAATGCTGCTAGCGCAACAACAATATACACATATCTGGTTTCTCTGCACACCCACACTGGTTTCTCTGCACACCCCCACACACTTACAATTCTAGATCCTTCTTAACTTGATTCATGATTAAGATTAGATTAATTAAATAACACATAGTCTTTATAAATCTTATTTAACACGCAAATAATTAATCATAACAAATCACAATTCCCATAATTTAATTAGTCTAATTTGACTTCCATTAAGGCCCAATTAATTTTATTTAAATTTATTAATCCGAATCGGATTTTTAGTCAGACTCCCAAAAGGCTCCAAATATTAAATTAAATCTATTGTCATTATCAATTTTGATTTCCCAAATCATTAGGCCTTCAATTTCTGATCAGACTCAAATTTCCAACAGTAAATTATATATTCAAATTGGTCGTTCTATAAATAACTTTAATTCGCAATAATCACAATTCTCAATCCTCATAATCTAATTAACTTAATTAACCCCACTTTGGACCCAATTTTATTGAATCTCAATTTATAAATCTGAATCGAATAGTTAATTAAACTTCCACACGGTCCGATATTCAAAATTAAAATAGCTTAATTCACTAATTATACTCTCTCGAGCCATTTGGGCATTGTATTTCTAATCCCAAAATAAATCCTCAATAGAATCATGCATGAGTCAATCTCCATAATTTTCGTAAATCCCAAATTAACGATAATGCTCGGCAATTAAATTTCAAATCCTCTTAATTAATCAAGTACTAATCATTATACGTAATGGGGTTGTTACAGGAACTCTGGTGAACAGTTTGAGATAACACTAGTAAGTTCCTCTGATCAATCAAATCTTAAATTTAATTTCCTCCTTGTTAGGATCTACAGAAGTTGATCAATTTAGCAACTCACATATCTATAGAACTTTGTAACAAGACTTCAGCATGGGTTTATTGATAATCTAGTCTGATATACTAACCTTAAAAGAAAATTAATTATGAATTCAACAAGATAGTTACCTGTTAGTGATGGTTAGATGTAGTAGTTTCCTTATTTATGTGGAATTTGGTCATGTAGGATTTTCTCGAACTGGTTGAGAAGTTTATCTATCTTTCCAGTAGATATGATATTCAACTTACTGTTGGTTATGCTATATGAGGCTTTTTGCCGAACTTACAATGACATTCACCATAAGTAATGAAAAAGATGATCATCTAATCAATTAGGTATTGTATAACTGCTTCCTTCATCTCCCTTTTATATTATGTAAATTCCTAAGGCACTGCTTTGTTCATTGTAATTTGGTTTGTTTAACTCTATGATATGCAGGAGTGTGTTGTGAAGCTCCTATTTTTTCAAGTAATTTGTATTTTTTGTCAAGTTCTATGTTTAATGTTTATGTTCCTTGACTTATTGTTATTTATGTGGTCAAGTTGTGTTTGTTGTCATGCTTTGGATGCTTTTTGGTAGCAAAGAGAAATAAATTTTCTGTCAATTAAACTTGAGGGTAGATACTTACTATTATTGCGAAATTATTTTAATCTCTTTTTGGTGACGTTATCCCATTTTCCATGGTTTTGTGAAATGCTATAATTTAGTTGAGTGTTATTTCTTACCCAATTTTCTATTTATTACTTTTAAACTCAAAGACGATGGATTTCATATGTATTTATTGATATGGATCTCATTGTCTTTATGTTACATATTTTCCTAAGGGTAAATTTCATTGACCTCCTCTAAGATTTGAAAAAAAAAAAAAATACAGTGAACTCCACAAGTTTGGACATCACAACTAAAACAGCGCTCGAACCACCGTATGGACATCACAACCAGCTTCCCATGACAAATAGGACCTGTGACAACAGACAACATGTAATTAGCACTTGTAGGTTGGGAGTTAAAGCTGAAAACGCTTTAAACTAAACTGAAAAAGGGCATTAAGGGGGCGAAAATGCAAAACAACCCCTGAACCACGGTACGAATATCACAATCAGCTTCTCCATGACAAATAGGACCTACGGCAACAGACGGCATGTAATTAGCACATGTAGGTTGGGAGTTAGAGCCATAAACGCTTTAAACTTAACCGAAAAAAGGCATTAAGGGGGCGAAAATGCAAAACAGCCCCTGAACTACCGTATGGATGTCACAACCAGCTTCCTCATGAAAAATAGAACCTGTGACAATAGTCAGAATGTAATTAGCACGTGTAGATTGGGAGTTAGAGATGAACATGTCTTAAACTTAACCGAAAAAGGACATTAAGGGGGCAAAAATGTAAAACAACCCCTGAACTACCATATGGATGTCACAACCAGCTTCCTCATGACAAATAGGACCTGTGACAGCCGACAGAATGTAATTAGCACGTGTACGTTGGGAATTAGAGTAGAAAACGCCTTAAACTTAACCCAAAAAGGCATTAAGGGGGCGAAAATGCAAAACAGCCCCCGAACTATCGTACGGATGCCACAACTAGCTTCCTCATGAAAAATTGGACCTGTGACAATAGACGGAATGTAATTAGCATGTGTAGGTTGGAAGTTAGAGCTGAAAACGCCTTAAACTTAACCCAAAAAGGGCATTAAGGGGGTGCAAATAGAAAACAGTCCCTGAACTACCGTACGGATGTCACAACTAGCTTCCTCATGACATATAGGACCTATGAAAGTAGACGAAATGTAATTAGCAAGTATAAGCTGGGATTTAGAGCCGAAAACGCCTTAAACTTAACCGAAAAAGGGCATTAAGGGGGCGAAAATACAAAATAGCTTCCGAACCACCGCACGAATGTCACAACCAGCTTCCACATGACAAATAGGACCTGTGACAGCAGACAAAATGTAATTAGCACGTGTATGTTGGGAGTTAGAGCAAAAAACGCCATAAACTTAACCGAAAAGGGGCATTAAGGGGGCGAAAATGTAAAACTGCCCCCGAACTACTGTACGGATGTCACAACCAACTTCCTCATGAAAAATAGGACCTGTGACAACAGACGAAATGTAATTAGTACGTGTAGGTTGGGAGTTAGAGCCGAAAATGCCTTTAACTTAACCGAAAAAGGGCGTTAAGAGGGTGAAAATGCAAAATGGCCCCCGAACCATCATACGGATATCACAACCAGCTTTCCCATGACAAATAGAACATGTGACAATAGACGGCATGTAATTAGCACGTGTAGGTTGGGAGTTAGAGCTGAAAACGCTTTAAACTTAACCAAAAAAGCGCATTAAGGAGGCAAAAATGCAAAACAGTCCCCAAACCACCGTACGTATATCACAACCAGTTTCCCCATGACAAATAGGACTTGTGACAACAGACGGCATGTAATTATCACTTGTAAGTTGGGAGTTAGAGCCGAAAACAATTTAACTAAACTGAAAAAGGGCATTAAGGGGACGAAAATGCAAAACAGCCCCCGAACCACCGTACAAATATCCCAACCAGCTTTCCTATGACAAATAGAACCCGTGGCAATAGACGGCATGTAATTATCACGTGTAGGTTGGGAGTTAGAGTCGAAAACGCTTTAAACTTAACCGAAAAATGGCATTAAGGGAGTGAAAATGCAAAACAGCCCCTGAACTACTGTACGGATGTGTCAACTAGCTTCCTCATGAAAAATAGGACTTGTAACAATAGACGGAATGTAATTAGCACGTGTAGGTTGGGAGTTAGAGTTGAAAACGCCTTAACCGTAACCGAAAAGGGCATTAAGAGGGCAAAAATGTGAATTGGCCCTTGAAAACGCCTTGTTAGATAACTTTTGCAATCCAACTGATAGTTATTGGCGTGGCATATAGATCACCTTTTGGCGTGGTACAGATTGCGATGGTAATTTGTACCACGCCAAATGGACATTTCACATGGTACAAAATATATTTTTTTGTATATGGACGGTTGGATTTTTGTATGCTTCTCTATTTTGTGTGGAAGTATAATTTTAGTTTGGATAATAGTTGGTTTGTATGGAATATATACATTTACAATTATTCATTTTTGGATGGATGGAAGTAATTTGGATTGTGGAATGATTGATAAAATATGTATTGTTTTGTTTATATACATACTACAGGTTGCACGTAATATAGACAGGTTGTGGAGAAATTACAATTTTGTGATAAAACGTAAGACCATTGTTTTGGTAACTCAACAATTTTTACTAAAAAAGGAAGTATATATTTCAGTGACTAAAATGTTATCAACCTTGCCAAACAGTGAATGTCAAATGATGTTTTGGTGATGGAGGAAAGCAAATGCTACTCTAGCCTTGCTGGAGAAAAAGTAATGAGGTAGAAAATTGTTAAACCAATATCAAATTACGAATGTTAGGATAAAGTTCTGTTATAGTTACAAGGGGTGTGAGATTATGCTCGAATGCTATATATGGAACTAATTGGTGTATTATTTATTTATTTATTTATTTATTTTTGTAGATGGCTTTTGGCATGGAGTTGTGGATATTCCATTTTTGTGGACGGATGACAATTTACACTTTTGTAAACTCCTGCATTTTTGTCGTCCTCTACTTTTTGTATAGGTTTGTATTAATTATGCAGAATACTTTTGGTAGGGTACATAATATTTTTTCCTTCGAACAGATAATTGATGTTGTGATCTATTCATTACCTTTTGTCGTGGTACATATTACCATGGTGTTTTGTACCAAGCCAAATGGTCATTTGGCATAGTAGTAAATATATTTTTGTATACGGAGGATGAAATTTCCCTATGATCATTTATGTTATGTATGGAATTATTATTTTAAATTGGAATTAATGTATGTGATTTATATGGAATTATTGACATTGAAGGTTTACTAATTTTTAGATGATTGGAAGTGAAATTGATGTAGATTGTTGAATGAGTGATAATATATATATAAACTAGTTTGTATATATCGTACAGGTTACATGGAATATATACAGGTTGTGGGTGTGGACAAATTATAAAAAATAATAATAATAAATAAATAAATAAATA